TCTCAATATTCTCCAAAAAACAGAAGAGGAGGGAATATATTTTATCTCATATTGTGTTGCCAGCAATACCCTGATACAAAAACTACATATAGATATAACAAGAAAAGAAAATTAAAAGCAAATATCCCTTATGAATATAGAAGAAGAAATCCTCAACAAAATACTAACAACCAAATCCAACATCATATTAAAATTATACATTAAACCATTACCAGGTGTGATTTATACCAGGAATGCAAGGGTGGTTTGACTTAAGAAAATCGACCCATGTCACACAGCACAAAGGGAGAAAAATAGTCATCTCAATTGATGTGGAAAAGGCCCTTGACAAAATCCACATGCAAAAGAATAACACTGGACCCTTACCTAATACTATGTGCAAATTAATATTAGCACAACATGGATCCACAGCCTTAATGTAAGATCAAAAATTTATGACATTTAGAAGAAAACATAGCAGTAAATCTTAATGATCCTGGATTTGGCAATGAATTCTTAGATATGACACCAAAATCATGAGCAACAAAAGAAAAAAAAATAAAGTGGACTTCATGAAAATTAAAAACTTTTATGCATCAATGGACATTATCAAGAAACTGAAAAGATAATGTATAGAATGAGAAAAAATATTTGTAAACCATATAACTAATATAGGTTTAATATCCAGAATTTACAAAGAACTCCTAAAACCCAACAACAAAAATACAACACAACTAAACATGGGCAAGGGTCTTGAACAGATATTTCTCCAAATAAGATACACATGTGGCTAATAAGTATATGAAATGATGTCAAATATTCTTAGTCATTAGGGAAATACAAATCAAAACCACAATCGCACTCACAGTCACTAGGATAGCTATTTTAAAAAAAAGAAAAGAAAAATAAGTGTTGGTGAGGGTATGGAGAAATTGAACGCCTCACACATTGCTGGTAGTAATGTAAAATAGCAAAGCCACAGTGGAAAACAACTTAAAAATTCCTCAAAAAGCTAAACATAGAATTGTCATATGACCCAGAAATTCTATTCCAAGGCATAGACTCCAAAAATTTGAGAACAGGGATTCAAACAGATACTTGTACACCACTGAAGCATTATTCATAATGGTTGAAAGGTAGTAACAAATCTGGTGCATATTAAAAGCTGAGTGGATAAACAAAATAGAATTATATGTACACACACATACACACACACACATATATATAATTCAGCCATGAAAAGGAATGAAGTTCTGATTCATGTTACAACATATTCACTTACATTACACTATGTATAAATTAATGTTAACAAAACATGGATGAACATTGAGAACGAACATTATATTAAGTGACTAAGCCAAACACAAAAGGACAAATATTATATGTTTCTATAGAAATGAAATATCTAAAATATGCTAATGCATAGAGACATAAAGTAGATTAGAAGTTACCAGAGGTTGAGGATTGAGAAGAATGAAAATGTACTGTTTTATTGGTATAGATTCTGTTGTACACTAATGGTTAAAATGATTAAAATGGCTAACATATCTATCTATTAACTATCTCTCTCCACAATAAAAGGAATGGTGGAAACACCCTGTGGGCCTAATGGTGAAGATTATATTCAAGCTAAAACCTGAAGGTGGGGAGGAGGTGCTTTGCAGATATCTGAGAAGCCTATTTCCAGGAAAGGAAAAGTTGGTGCAAATAGCCTGAGGCAGGCACATTCTTGGATGTCTGGGGAGTAGTGAGGAGCCAGTGTGACAGATGGAGTGAGCAAGGTGGGTCATGGAGATGAGATTAAAAAGAAGAGAGGCATTCAGACTTTATAAATCTTGTAGGACATCATAAGGGCTTTGACTTTTATTCTGATAAAAACAAATGAGTCTTGGAGCACTATGAGGAGGAGCATGACATCTAGCCTAGCCTTATTTTAGAAGGATGACTCGGGCATGCTTAAAATAGACTAAATGGGGGGCGGGGGGAGGTTGAAAAGGTACCAAATAGAAGGAGAGCAGTTAGGGGACTTATTTAATAATCTAGAAAAGAGGTGATGATACTTAGCTCAAATTCACAAGAAGAGCTATTGAGTCACAGTTAGATAGGATGATTTTACAGCCAGAAAGAGAAACATCACTTAATATTACATTGTAGGAAACCTTGACTGTGTTATAGTTCCATGGTAAACATTTTTATTATTTTTGTTGGGTATTATTATTCAGGATTATGTCAATGATAAAAAAACAAAAACTAATGATGAATTTAGAGGTAAATAAGTGATAAATAAAAAAAGAAAAACTCTTTAAGAAAACCTACAAACATCCATAAAATGCAATGCTTGAATTTAAATAGCACTGTAATTTATTTGAAAATCACTGCTGCTCAACATATTTGCAAATATGTGGGCCTTAAATATATGACATTGAATGAGTCCAATAATAATTGTGCTATGCATATGCTAATAAGAACATAAGCATAGGGTATTAAAAAGAAAAAGGTATGAGACTAAAAATGAAAGACTTTATTTAAAAATAAGAGGTTTTTACTATAAAGCTTCAAAAACAATGTTAGATGTTAAGGTAACAAAAATATGGACAGAACTCATTTCACTATGATGAAACATTTAAGAATTCTAAGAAATAAAAATGCATATATGGAAGTAGAAAATATAGTCTTTATTTTATATTTAAAAGTAGATGGTGGTAGCATCAAGATAATAAAAAACTTCTATCTTTAGAATAACCATTAATTTATACTTTCAGTGAACTAAATATGAATGGAAATATCATTATGATAATCATGATTTAGGAGTATATACCTTACAAAGATATTTTAGTACTAAGAGATTAATTTTACTTTTTTTAACAGTGTATAGCTTCATTGGTGCATAATCTAAAATTTAGATTGGTAGTTGTGAAAGGGGAAGAACAGTGTATAGAGAATTCATTATGTGATCACTGTGCCTTTAAGAACACTGGTAGAATTTTAAAGCACTCTCTCTCAAAAGAACCAATGAAGGAGCTTCCTTTGGTGAGGGAAGATCAGCTCTGTTTAAAACAAAGCAGAACAATGAGGCATTTTTATACTTACAACACCACCCCTCTTTTCATAGTTTGGTTTGCCCTCATACAAAGTAACAGCCTGATATCCACATTAGAAATGAGATCGACAAGGCATCCCTTTCATCCCTAACTGCCCAAACTCTTCACTAATAATAATTAACCATTCCTGGCTTCTATCCAGCAGTTTAATAAATACTGGAATGGCCCTGGGCCTCAGCTGCATTTCTAGCTTTAGCTACGGAATGGGAATGATGGGATCCTGAATGAGATTTGCTGAATAGCATCAGTGCAGCAAAATGACTACTTAATTGTCTACTAATGAATAACCATTATTTAAATATATATTTTATGTTAGAGTATGTGTGTTGATGCTCATTCAAATAGGTCATCTTCAGCTTTATAAAGTTTATTTCTCTACCTGCCTCAGAAAATTGTTAGTATATAGCATAATAATATTTGATAATTGCTCTAGAAGTCATTATACGCTTCATATAGATGTGCTCTTTTAGGTAATGGAAATGACATTTATTTCAAGGTAAATGATGATTCTTCATACTCAATGTTTACACAATAAAGCAGAGTGGGTAATACTTAAGAAATGGTCATTATAAATGTATTATTTACTTGATGAGTAAATTCTTCGATTTGGTTTGTGGTGTTATTACTCTTAAAATTTCACAGATCTTACAACTGAATGCCTTTATAAGAGTAGAAATTGTTGTATATATTAGGAGAAATATGGTAGGGATGGGGAAAGGGAGTTCCTTTTCCAAACTCCCATTTTGTTCATAGAGAGAAGAAATTTCTCCTCTATTCTTAATGGGAAGGAAAAATATGGGAGAATCTATTTTAGTTTCTCTCACTCTTTACTCTTCAAGGCAGAGGGGAATGACTTGCCTGATTGGTAAGAAATGGAGGAAAGGACTGTGTAGGTATAGATTCTAATTTTTGTTTCTCAGAGTAGCCTCTTTTCAGGACCTGTTCCCTGTCTGTATCTTGGGGACAGGCTCTGCCCCTGTGAGGGAAGAGAGAGTGGTGCCACAGTGTGTCTCAGACTAGTGGATAGGTCTGCTGGATCAGCGATGAAGTGTTAGGATGTCATATTCAGCCAGTGACCCAAACAAATATTTTTACCTCTGTGCCTCTAATTCGTGAATCTCATTTCACAAGCTCTCGAAGGGGTGGGGAAGCTGCTGCCTTAAGGCCACTTGTAGCTTGCTAGTTCCTTAAAAGGAGCCTTTTGACTGCATCCAAATTTTACAGAACAGATCTTTTTATTAAAAGGGGTGCAGCTGAGAAAGATGAAGTTTTTCTTGCCTCCTTTGGTGCTTGAAAAAGACCAATCTTGAAATCAGAAGGCCACAGGTTCCCCACCCCTACAAAAGTGAGGTCTCCTTCTCTAGTCTGAAACTCCAACATGAGTGACATTGCTGCAGTTGTTCTATGATGAGCATAAGCACATGGTATATGTTTGAGTGTGTCCTAATATCCTTGACATTTTTCTGTGCCCATTTTCCTACTATAAAAGAAATACAGATGAAGTTTTGGTTCTGATGTTAAGGCCATTGTCCCAGATTGTTCTTTTGCCTTGGCCAACAATGAAATAAGTGAGAGTTTGTGTAATGAAATCTTATTAAAGAGACACAGAATTAAGAAAATAACTAATTAATGTCACCTGCCCAGTCTTTGACTTGGAATTTCACTTTGATGAAACTTGTATGAATCTTGACTAGAAAGTAAACAAGCTTTCTCCATGAATTTCCCTAAAAAAAAAGAGTTTTGTAGTCCATTAGGGTAATTGAACTTTTAACTTGGAACTGTATTTCCAGAACATAGGTATTAAACCACAACAATTCTTCCTTAATTTATAAATAAATATTTTTTACCAACATATACTACCTCAACAATTAGAGTTTAAATAACCACTTTGAATGGTGACCAAGAATTGACACACTACAATCAGGAATTCAGAACATTTATTGCAAGAGCTGAATAACTGTAAATAACGTAGAACTGGCAAAGCAGTAACAAGGATAATTGTTTAGATATTTATTCTGTCAAAGTCATCAAACACCCCTCACAAACCGACAAAAGTGTACTTCAATAAGCAATGCACCCCTACCCATTATTTTCCATTATACTGTGGAAAAATGTGAACTGCTATTTACAAAGTAATTTTATTTTTTGGTAAGAACAAATTAACTATCAGATTAGCAAACCTTTTTTTTTTTACTTTTTTTTTTTTTTTACTTTTAAACTGATGGTGAACCGTGGCATTAAGATAACTTTCACTTCTTTCAATAAAGACATTGTGTTGCATGCTATTTATTTGTTTAAATCATCTGTCATGCCTTAACAAAAACCTCCTAAGAATGTTCAAATTTGGATTTGTTTGCACGTGCAACTGAGATCTTATTAACATTAGTTGTCACTCTGTTGGTTTGACCTAAGTGACAATATGCTGGTACCTGCCAGGCATTGACCAACTATGATAACAAACAGTTAAACAGCAATAATTAGAGATTTATCCCTTTATTTACCCCAACTACCCTACCTGGAGAATGTTCTGTTACAGCATGAAGGCACAACACATTAAATATTTTGTGGCTATGGTCTAATAACACTTGTGTTACAACAACAGTATTGTATATGAGAATTAACACAAACTGCCATTTCAACAAAGTTGCAGACACACATTTGCCAAATTTAAACTATTTTTGAATAGTGATTTTTCTGCCATATATGCTAATTTTGAGACATTAGTTTTGCATAAGTGACAAGTACAGAATATTATATCACTTTTAACAGATAACACTTTCCCATTACTCTTTCACTTAATGGTACTAATTAAGTGACTTTGCTTTTGCCTACTTTGAAAATAAGAATATCAAAAAATAGGTTCTGAATTTCCAAGCTTTTACAGAGGTCCCTTTTGGTACAAGGTTTTCATTTTTTTCTTTCATCTTTATTTTTTACAGAATTCCAGCATCATAAGCTATCATACAAAAAAGATTTCAGAACCTTTTTTTTAAACACAAGTGTTTGAGATCTTTTGAACAATGTGTGTCAAGACAGACTACAAACGCAGAAACACCTCACTAAAAGAAAAAACAACAAAGAGGTAAATTAAAAAAAAAAAGGAAAGAAGCAACCATAAAACACAGAATTATGCTACAACATTTTTAGGTGAACATTATAAGTACACAAAAGTTGTTAATAATAGCTTGCTTCTATTTACAAATACTTTAACACTGATTGACTTACAAGTGTCCACTAACGTTGTTAACAGCACAATAGGTTTAATGCTTATCTTTTTAAGTTTTGTTTGAAGTATAATGTCAAGTATAGCGGTCCCAGCACAAATCAATGACAAAAAGAGCACAATTTTCTAACTGGATATGTTTGTCAGTCACTCTAATCCATGTAACTTTCTTACTCTCCAAATGCATATTCTATTGTTCATAGCAGCAGTCCAGGGTCAAAATAAAATGCAATAATAAAAAAATTTGCACAATGGAGAGATCTCCGGAAAGTTTAATCAATTCTAGTAAACAAGATCACATGGCTAGTAGAACTATTTTCTCTCTTATGTTGCAAAACATTATATCCTCCATAGTGCTAACACAAAATTATGGATATCCCTGCTAGAAGGGGCATAGTTGTAGAGATCTATTGAATACATAAAGCTCTGACACACACGATATTAGCATGTCTATTTAGATTAAAGTTATTAGGTCCCATATAGCCTTTTCTTAGAGTTGGTGCTCCTTAGGGCTCTCAATAGCACCTCCTGCTTGCTTATAAGACTTCAGATTGGCCAGAGGAATGTCTGTCATGTGGCTGCCATTGTTGAAATGGCCTTCGTTGGAGCCATACTGCTTACGGTCATTGAACTGGTTCCTGTTGCTGTCTTCTTTCCAGGCTCTGGTCAGGGTGTGCCCATTCACGAGCTTGTCCTTCTTGACCCATTCTTTCTGGGGTGCAAAGGTTGAGAGAGGAGATTTTGGGTGTTGATATGGACCCAAGCCAGGAGGCATCCAGCAATTATCTGAGTGACCCAAAACCAAGCACTCTTGGGTGCACATCTCTGTAGCTTCAGCTAATCCTCGGGGACCCAGAGGCCCATCTGTAGAGGACAAGAGACAGGGAAAACAAGAAAAGAAAATGGTTAAATTTTTTTTCTGAGACAGGGTCTCACTCTATTGTCAGGGATAGGGTGCAGTGATGCAATCAAAACTACCTACAGCCTCAAACTCCTGGGATCAAGTGATAACTCTAGCTCAACCTCCCAAGTACAAGTAGGACTACAGTAGTACTACAGGTGTGTGCAACCACACCTGGCTCTTTTTTTTTTTTTTAGAGAGAAATGGGGCTTGCTATGTTGCCCAGGTTGGACTTGAACTCCCAGCCTCAAGCTACCCTTCTGTCTCAGCCTCCCAAAGTGCTGTCCTGGGATTATAGGCACAAGCTCCTGTGCCCAACCAGTTAAAACTTTTAGTTTATCTCCTTAGAGAAAAAGTGCATTAGTGATGTCAGTTTCTCATAAAAAAGTATATTAAGTTAGGCAATTCAAAGACATTATTCTCCATCTTTTTTTGAATAACACAAAAGAAATCAAATTTTTTATGGAGGTAAGATTTATCTCTTCTTTCTTCAGTTTGTATTTATATCCAAAATCATAGCTAGATAGATAAATAGATAGACCAAAAGAAATGTGTGAATAAACAGATATAACCATTATGTTTCATTTTTTATCAAGTCTTCCAAGGAACACATATTATTATTGATTTTTATTCTAAGAAAAGGTTTATGTTTGTGGTAACCTATGAGCAGTAGAACAATTTTATGTACAATGTTGAAGAACATGTAAATGCTAAAACTCCATGAAATAAGCAAAAATCTACTTGTAACATATTAAAAATAAATACACTAAGTGGTTACATAAAATGTTTCTGTATAAACACTTGTTATTTTTTCTATATGAAATCATGTGGAAATACTTTTTGCCACATTAAAAAAAAACTAAATGTATTAATTTTAAAGAATATTTTAACTAAAGTGTCTTACTAAAGACACACTTGGCCAGCTGCAAGAATTGTGAAATTTAAGTAAATAAAGAAGCCATTTGCATCCAAAGACAATGTTAGGTTCCTACCAGCTGAACTATTTTCTAAATTTCTAAGGTATAAACCTAAATCTAAATTGCAAATTGAATCACATGGGCACCAACATTCTGGGGGAAGAAAGTCATCATAGAATTTATCTTTTATTTTTTTTACCAGCAGGAAATCTAGAACATATATTTTATCCAGGATTTCCTAAGTAGACTCTTTTCTTATTGTGTAAAGTGGATATCAGCCTTTTACTGAAAAGCAAAATAAGCAAAATGGTTAAAAAATAAGTTGAGTTTTATTGTTGTTTTTCCCCCCTTGATTAAACAGCCAAGAGATAAGTGATAGTTTGGAAATTAGGAATTGATTTTACCAATGAGGTTAAGTGGATAGGTAAGAATGCCCCAGGCATAAAGCATTTTCAAAAGCAGAGAATCATCAGAAAAAAAAATGTAGAAGAAAATGAAGAAAACATATCTGCAAGTTTGCTTAGTCAACAATTAAAATAACTAAATAATTGTAGGTCATTGCTAAAACCCAAGTTAGCACAACTAGCATTTTTAAATGCCCAATAATTATGGGATTTTTATATTAATATCTATTTGCCTTAATAATATTCTACTTATTTCTTGCATGTGAAAAAATGTCTGGTAAGACGGGCAGACTTTGACGGCAAAGACCTAAGACAACAAACCATAGGAAACATCAGAATGGACAAAAAATGTGAAAAAATGTGGCTAACATGCACTATTTCATATAAACTCAAATTTTAGCCATTTTTACATCTAAAAGTGCTCTTTAGAATAACCTTAAAATTTCTTCCCATCTGACCCATATTCCCATCCTCTCAAAAGCAAACAGTTGTATTTTGTTTAAACACATATTCATTACTTAAAACTATTTCTCTCACAAACCTCCAATGATTACTTACTTCCTTGGATATTTAATTTAAACTTCTCTATGAGTCTTTCTTTGCCCTCTATAATCTGGCCACATTTTAAAAGTTCAAACTAATTTCTCACTTTTAGGTTCCCTTTGGTGTACTCAGTGACTTTGCATCCACAAAGCTAACACATTTTGCTAAAACCAATCCATGTTTGCTTGCATTAGAATCACAGGCTAAGAAGATGTTTTGTGCCTGGCCTGTTTTCATTTAATTACTGACTCCTTCAAGGGTCAGTTGGTGTCCCAGAGGCCACAAGCACGTTTCCATATATATATCCATTCATGTGTCATATGCATCATGAAAATTTCCAGCTCTTCCTGTATTGAATAACAAATCCCCTAACTGAGCTACCTCAATGCTTACTTTGATGACATTTTCTCCTCTTAGGGGAAGTTCAGTACATTTGCAAGTTTTTATTTTTGTTTTCTCCCAACTAGATTGAAAATTCATTGATGGGGGAAATAATGGTATATCTGCCTTCTGATTTCCTCACAGTGCTAAGCAATAGTAGTGATCTATGAACAATGTTAATTGTTAATTAAAATTTTATGAGGTTGAAAATGCTCTGAGAATTATTAAAGATATCCCCTGCTTAAAGGCAGACTTTTAAGTAATTATAATAGAAGATGCTGATTTCACAAACCTTAGGCCAAAACTTCCTCAACAGCAAATTCCTTTGCATAGCAATACTTTGTGACAGTTTATAAATGAATTATTTATCTTCCCTGTTAAACATATTCACTCCTTTCTAGACATCAATAGAGATAAAGTAGTTAATCACCAATTTGATGTGTAACATATCGTGAAGCCTATAAGCTAACTCTTAATCTTTACTTTTATAGCATTGTTAATAAGATTTCTTTTATTTTTGATATCTCCAAAGGAAAAAAATAAATTATCAGCTACCTCAGAAATGTCAGTAGAATCAGGTTTTTATTGAGCTGATCAAAAAAGAGAGAATATGCAAGATTATTTTTAAATTAGTCTTATCCAACATACCCTGCCACTTTATTAAATTCAGAAATATCACCTAATGATTGAGAATGATGTGTTTGTGTGTATTTCTATAAGAGTATGTGGACCTTAGGTTTTCAGCCTTAAGTGACACATTTTGATGAAATAGAGTTTATCAGTTTTTAAAATTTCAGAACTGATAACATTTATTTATTCCACAAACATTTACTGAGCATGTACTATGGGCTGGAACTATGATAGGCACCAAGAATATAGCTGTGAACAAAACAGATGTCAACACTACCCCAGGGATCTATGATTTATATTGGGAAACAAAAAATTGCCTTAACAGCACTGAAGTGACAGGGATGTAAAAGATGTCATTGGGAAGTAATTCAACTGATTTAGAGAAGTTTTTTTTTTTTTCAGATAACAAACTGACTTCATTCCAAGTTATATCATTTATTACGTTTCCTTATAGATAATTGTCAATTTAAGACAATTTACAGTTAAATTTTTTGTGTATTATATAAAATCTTTAACTTTCAAAATACAGAATTATTTTCAATAAATAATATTAATTGTTATTTGAGAACTGTACTTCCCATGATTCATTTCTGTAAATCAACTTGACACATTTTGATAAAACCTATAAATAAATTTATGGAAGTTTTATAGATTCCTAGGTAAGTATCTTAGGTAGCCAATTGTTGGATAAGTTGTAAAGATCCATCTCAGGCTGGGCACGCACAATGGCACTAAACAATAATTCTTTAGCTTTGAAATATAATTTTTATTATTACTGTAAGTAATTGTCTTAATAGATGAATACGTATATTTTTCATTCATACATCCTCTCAACAAATATTTATTGAAACCCAACATGCATCACATGTGTCACTGTGTTGGATCCTTATTAGATGTTTTGAGATCTTATGTGTGGGTGTGTTTATGCATGTGCAATCATGATTATGTGTATTTTTTCTGTTTCTCCAACTTTTTAATAAGTTGTATAATTTCCTGTTTGTGGTACATCCATTATGTAATATCTGTTTAGAACCCTGATCCCGATCAGGATTCCAAACTGCTTATAAATACTTTCTATAATTTCAGCATTACACTAATTTATTTCCTTTCTTTTAAAAGTAATTAAAATCCTCTATCATAATTTTTAACACTAAATCATTTATTGGTTTATTTTAAAACTCAAATTCTTGGTTTCCCTTTCACAATCTTCAATCTATGAGTTTGGTTATCTTTCTTTGTTTTTGAATGTAAAAAAAATTCAAGTACTGATAAGACTGTACAAGCCATCTGTTTCTGCATTTAAATGTTGAAATAAAAAACAAAGGCACATAATAACAAGCTTCTGGAAAATTGTCTCAGTTAATAATTATATCATGTGTCAAAGTATTTCCCTCTTCATCTTCATACAACTCATCTTCTCACTCAAAACCAAACAAAATATTTTCCAAAGGTTTAGGCATTAATAGCTGTCAGAAAGTTGCCCAAATTACTGATCTTTAAAGATGTGAATTTAAAATGTGAAACAATCCAAATTAATGGAACTCTAGCAATATTTACATGGTAGGATACTTAAGTGGTCCTTGATGTCATTTTATTATACTAAGAAGCAGAACCATTACTTCATTGATTAGTTCAGTGCTGTAATGTTGTAATTAACAAAGAGCTTCTGGTCTATTGACCAAATACTTTTCAACCCGACTATTTAAGACCCTTTAATTTCAAAACTAGAAACTGATATTTAAAAAAAAAAAAAAACAAAACTGAAAAAAATCATCAGACATTTTACATTTCTGGTTGGACATCATCCTATATGAGGTTTTGGCCTTTTCTATGAATTAATTTTTCTTATAATTTTTATTGCTAGGTAAATAAATCTTAACAGACTGCCAAAATTGAATTGTAAAATAGATAAGTCATTTTTGTATAATTTTGGGACAAATTTGTCACATTTCACTTAATTTTTCATATTGTTCCATTTTTATAATAGAAAAAATTCCTCTTTGATGTAATACCCTTCTGATTGTCATGTTACAAAGTATTTTTTGTGGTAAGAACATCTATCACTACTTTTATGAAAAACATTTGTTC